AAAATTAACAAAAATAATCAGACAGACAGTGAGACGGACAGGTTAATCGATATATACATATTGGTATTTACTAGCTATGTCAACAATCACTTCAAAAGGTCGCTAACTTTCACTACAATATTTTTCATTACGTCATAGGTATCCGTTCATGAATACAAAAAATCATATCAATGATAATATGATGAAAGATTATATCAAATGCTTCTGATGTTAATGCTTGTGATTGTCACCAAATCTTCTTCGTTGTTATTTTTGTTATTGCTATTGTCATCATACAATAATCAAAGTGACAGAGAAATGAGAAAAGTCGCAAATGAAACTGTCGAAGTTAATAACTGCAACAGTTTACGATTATTAATTCTATCATACAACTATATTTCTTCCGTTACTTTCATCATTTCTGTTCAATTTTCCCTTTTCTTATATGATTGATTCCTTTTTATTTCTTTTATTCATTTATTCGATACTAAAATACAAATCATACTTATACATGTTGATTTTTGATCATTCGTAATATTTCTACCATTATTTATCACAGAATGCATTGATTTCATTAATAATTACTAGCAAATAACAGAATGATCAGAAATCGTACAATTCATATTGATATGATAGCTTCAGTCAATTTTTTTTCAACCCAAAAATTTGTTATAATTAAACGATATAATAATTATTTCTTTTATATAGCATGGTTAAATTTCAAATTCATCATGGATTTAAACATAAAATGATGCAACATTTTTAATATTTAAAATATTTAAATCATTTTCTTGAATATTATCACAAGAATTTGTGTATCAAAAATTTATGATAACATTCCTAATCAAATTTCTCTTATCTTATCCTGTTATCTTTTCAAGATTTCTTTTTCATTTCTTTTTTTTTTTTTTTTTTTGGCCGAAATAACCTTTTTATACAATATATCTTTGATATTTTACAAGTAATAAGCGATAATTGATAAGGAATATAAATTATTGATTTTGCATACGAAAGACGAATTTATCTTGTGTAATTTTAATTATATTATCAATAAATAATGGATAAAATTTCAGGCTATCATTTTCAATCAATCAATTCTCAATAATATCACTTTAAATTTATATCATTAATCGATACGTATTATACCAGCATATTTTGCTGATGTCAACAAAAGGTTTATCGTTTAACGATAAGAATCGAGAATCATTTCCACTATGAATATTGAACGTGTTAGTTTCAAGTATACTTGGGCAACAAAAGTTTTAATGCGTCAAATTAATGATAATGAATCAGTAATCTTACATGTGTCACCAAAATTTGCAACCGTTCATGGACAAGTTGCTTTTCAATGGTCTTTACAAATGCATGGTACAACATTTCTTAATGATCAGGTTTGTTTACTTGTTTATATAAATTATTTCACTATATCATGTATTACTTATTATTTATATCATTTATCATTTTTATCACTTATTATTTTTATATCACTTGTTTTATCTTAATGAATTACTATCAGTGCTATTAAAATTAAACTAGTAAAATTGCAAAATGAATTTTCGAAAGATTCCATTTATGAATTATCTTTATTCTATAATTTGCTATAATATAATTCTTATGGAAATAATCATTATATCGTAGTTGTAATCATAATCGTCATTAATTTTTCAAATAGATATCATCAGCAAACAAGCTTATGTTCGTTCATTTAATTAATTAGCAAACTAATTAATTAGTTAATTTAAAGGAGCAGATAGAATTGAAGGGAAGTAATCACGATGAAACAGAGTATGAAGAATGTGAACCGAATTACATAGCATTATCGTTGTATTTTAACGATGGACCAGCACCAGTTATTGATGATCTACAAACAATCACCAAACTTTTACAAGATAAGAAATGTAGCATTAATAGCAATGATGATGGCTATGTTATTGCTGAAAGTAATTTCATTTCTATTTATATATTAGTTTGAAAAGGAAAAAAAAAATGTTAAATTTAAATTTTTCCACAATTTAAATTTTGAATTTAATTTTTAAATTCTAAATTTTAAGCATTAACAAATAAATGATAATGAAAAGTGAAATTTCTTTGCATATATTTTCTAATGTTATCCGAAAAAAAACAAATTCTTTAAATTATTCAGAAAAGTTTATTAACGAAAATTTTCAGTATACGTCTCCTTCCCAAAAAAAAAAAATAAATAAAATAAAAAAACATCTCTCAATTTAAAAATTTTAATCTCAAAAAAATTTATTGAAAATTAGTTATTTATCATCATCCAGCAAATATCGATATTTGTTTTCTTTTCCAAATAATAATTTTCGGTCTCAAGAATCTGTTCTTCGGTTACAGTATAACCAATTGGTTCTCAAATATGAATGATAAGATAAAGGGTGCAATGTGACAAGAAAAAAAGAGGAGGCTATTGTTATCAGTTATTTGATAAATTAATGATGTCAAAAAGTTTTGATTTAATTTTATCCTCAAATTAACAGAATTTATTATTTTTGAATTTTATACTCCTTGCTATAAATAAAGAAAAGAAAAAAAGCTAAAGTTAGGAACCATTGGGTTATGCTAATTTTTTATTTGTATATTATTTACATTCGTTTGCAATCTCTTATGAATACTTATTTTATGATTATGATTTTTTTTTAAAAAAAAAGGTTGTGGTCATTTAAAAAAAATAAACTAGTGACATTTTAAATTGTGATTATAAATGAATTCACATTAAGTACATGTTTAATAGATGTAATTTTGTAAGGCTTAATGAATGATAATAAGTTTAACAATAAAAGAAAAGATGGATGTAAATGATGTGAAAAATGTAATACAAAATATCAAAAATAAAATTCTTAATTTTAATATGAATAATTAAACATTGAGTAAATAAGCATGTTGACAAATTTCATTTTAATTATCACAATGATATTAGGAATAAGTCAAAAATCTAAAATAAAAAAATTAATAATCTATTTTAGTCAAATTTAGCTTCAAGATAGATTACATATCACATCTATTTATTTTCAAACAATTTTAATAATTATCAATATTTCAGCAAAAAAATTAAGCGCTGTTCGTGGTAAAGAGACAGAACTTACGACAGTTCAACGTTTTGACTTTTCAAATTACATAAAAGTTAGCAATTTATTTTATTTTAATTAATTATCATTTTGGAATTTTTTTTTTCGATAAATTTAAATAAATCATTCTATCATAAGAAGAATTATTGATAATGTATATTTGCAATTAATGATTAATTTTTGCATCCATTTATTAAATTGTTGTTTTTATTTTCCAGTATTATGATCACAAAAAAAAAAGAAAAAAAAAAAAGAAAAGAAAAAAAAAGCCAGGACAATTTTCAACTGATAGATAAATTGCTTTATGATTATGAAAATATAAGGAAATTTTTTCTTTTTAAATTCTATTTTATCTAATAATATCAATAAAGTAATCATATTATTTTTCATAATTAATTTTTAATTAATGCATTTGATAATTTTCTAATAATAACTTTTATTTACTTTCTTCTTTTTTTTTCTTTTCTTTTTAAGGAAAATGTTGGTCAAGTGGTTCGTTTATCAATTATGTTAAATTTTCCTATACAATTATTTGAACCATGTACTTATCTTAATACACTTACGCCAACACCAATTACATCATTTCTTACCGCAAACTACAGGGCAAGAGCATCATCAAAAGTTTTTAATAGGCGATTACGAAAGTTTGTCATTTCCATCTTTTTTATTTAATTTTTTTTCCTCCCCACCATCCATTTGTAATTTGATAAATTTGATAAATATGATAAGGTAACAGTATGTTTACAAAATGATAGATAAAATCTTTAATATGATATTTGTACATTTGAGGTATATCATCATAAATAAATATTAATGATTGAAAAACTAATAAGAGTTAATATATAAACTAAAAATTTATTAAGCTTTAATTTTACAATGATAAAAAATACATATCAAATTATTATCAATCATTGTCACTTGTTACTTTTTTTTTTTTTTCTTAGGAATAAATTGTCGAGTAATATGGATGATAATCTACGTCGAAGGTTATCACTAAAACAGCAAGATGATTTTGAAGCAATTTTCAATCGTATAATGAATGATGAAAAAGAGCATTGTGCTAAATCACAATGCTCAAGAAATGATTACAACAAATGTGAAGAATTAAAAGTTAGGTTAGCAATAAAAATTAATAATATCAATTATTATTGTAATAAACTATTTTTCTTTCAACTTTCCATCCATTAAATTATAAAGTTTGATTGATAAAATTGCAAAAAGTGCAAAATTTATTGTTGCAATTATCATGATTGATTGAAAGCTTAATTTACAATTAAAATTTGCTTATCAATTATGATCACAATTTTGGATCATAGTTAAGCCTTGATATAATACTTCCAATTAATTATAATAAATAGATTATTTGTTAAGTATAATTAATGATTGAAAGGAAACAATTTACAAAGTGTATTGGATAATTTTTTAGCTATAAAATGGTATCATTCAAAAAATTACTAATAGCATGTTGTGATGGTTGTCAAAAGAAGGCAAGAATAAGAGACGAGGAAAATCTTGAGTTCGATCAGGAAGAATTAGATGGATTGGATGATGAGAATGCATTCGAATGTAATGAACAAAATAAGGATGCTATTCATGAGGTTAATTTAATATTTGTAAAAAAAAAATTTTTAATTTTTCTATTTTAAATTTGGAAAAAAAAACAAAATTCAAAAGCAAATCACTTTAAATTTGGAAAAAAAAACAACAAATCTTAAAATAGTTCGATAAGTATTCAATTTCATTAAAATTATTGTAGTATTCATGCTTTATGATTTGTATCGAAAATTGAAAAATATTTGAAATGATTTTTATATTAAAATTTGAATATCAATTTCAGATGCTTGCTAATATGTTTTTTACAAAAGTTGCTTTACCGCAAATGGGTTATGTTGAAAATTTTGCTGATTTTTTAATTGATGCAGAACTGAATAATTTACCAGTGCTTAAACGAGCATGTGAAGGTTATCTTTGCAGTGAATTAAATTCAGTAAGTTTTTTCTTTTTTTTTTTTTATCATGAATTTGCAAATAGTTCTGTTATTAAAGTTTTCTGATACTAACTTTCTCAACTTCTAATTAATATAGTTGAATAAAAAAGTTACGAGTATCCAGCAGTTATCGTTGATTTGATCGAACCATTCAGATTATTATCATTCTAGAAAAAAGATTTAATAACATCATTGCTGTTGGAGCTTTTATTTTTGGCTATTGTTTTCAATTTACGAGTACTGAAATCGATGACACTTTCTGAATTATCAAATCGTCCCGAAGAATTGGACGGACCAGATGCCTTATTAGCTCTTGATGAGTATAAGTAAGCTATCTTTTTTCTTCTTTACTTAATGAGAAATTTTCGGACTTTGAAGGAAATATACCGATTTACCATAAGTGAAATTTAATGGTTTGAATATTGAGAATGAATACAGGTTAGGATATTTTTTACTTATTCGTTGATCCTTAATTATGTGTATTTTTCGATATTCTCAATGAAATTTTTTAGAGATCTAGATCGTCGAATGACAAAGCTTAATGGAAGTAATCTTATTGAAGTAATCAGAGAAGTACAACGATTTCGAGAGCAAAGGTTGCGTACAAAATTGATTTGAAAAATCACAATCAATATTGAGGTCTGTTTTTGTTTTTGTTTTTGCTGTTTTCTTCTCTTCCAAATAGCAACGAAAAGGTATTAATAAAATCAATTTAACTACCATATTCTACCGTCATTGTTATTGTCACTTTTTTTTGACCTAATGCTAGCAAAGATCAATGTTTACCACTTTTTCTTTTCCTTTTTTTTTTTTTGTCTACAAATGCAACAAGAGTGAACAATGGAATAGTCAAAAGCATATGCACAACGTACACTACGTTGTCCACTACCGGTATTTCTTGAAGGAAGTAGTTGAGACAAAAAGAAAAAAACTAAACAATTTAAAATCAATTCATAAGGTAAACACAATTGATATTCACAAACAGAGAGTGATTCTTTTTCTTTCAGGATGACGTAAATCAAGTGAAGGATGATATGAATTCTGCTCAGTTGTAGCTACAGGATTTCTTAATTTAAGGGTCCAGATATTTATAAGCTTTTCTACCTTTCTTACACCTCTTATCCATCCTACTTTTTAGGATTAGATAATCCTTATAACCAGATATCACTTCCAGACTTGGATAATACAGGATGATATCATTATGTCGGAAAATATAACAGGTAAAACTGAATCAGGGGTATCTTTTTTATCCCACGTTTCGTAGTATCGTTAAATCTGGAAGATCTGGAAACCAAACATAAAGACATATGCATCAGCTACCACTTGGTAATTGAGATTACCATCTTAGTGCACTGCGTTAGGCAACACATTGACGTTTCCACACTCGCGTCACTTCAGGTTCAACAACCAGATATAAGGATTCAGTACTTTGCTCAGGTGTTAACCCGAGTGGTATACCTTTCCATTCCAATGGATTACAGGTTGACCAACGATGTGTATTGCTTGAATCTCTTGTTTCTGGTTGTTTTTCATCTGTAATGTTGGAAATTATCAGGGTTTTGCAGCTAACTAAAATTCTTAAAATTCAAGGTATAAAATTTTTGTTCAACATCTATAATTTCTATTTCTAAAAAAAATTATCGTACCAACTCCGTTATCTTTAATATCGATTTCTTTATCGAATAGCCTACCCGTCATGGATGCAAGAAAAAGGAGCACCGAGAGTGAACTTGTTTATAATAGAAGTGATTTTCAAGAATGATTAAAGATAAGTTCCCTGCAAAATCTTTGTAAAAAAGGCTAAATCACAGAATGATCCTGTAGCTAACTTTTCCCCGTGATTTCTACTGTTTTATCATTAATTGTGTTATATATTTTAATTTATAGACGACAGAAATCGCATCTTTTTCTTCTTGTTGTCAGATACACGAAGTTATGGACTGTTTGAAGTGTTTTAAAAAAATGGAAAAAGAAAAATCGCAAAATTGAATCTACAATTTAAATTGTATCGCAAAAAAAGACCATTACCAGTACATTTTGTAATTTAAGTTCACGTGGAAAAAAAATCGTGCTAAAACATTAAGTTTTTTTTGAGGTAAATTAAAAGAGACTTTTACATTTAGGATCTCACTAAAAGTTTGAAAGAACGAGCGCTCATGACGAAACCAGACGTCTTACACGCATAAGTATGTATTATAAATTAATAATAGCGCAAAAGGTATGTTTTTGATTAAAAAAGTAATGAAATAAAAAATCAATCAGTTCCAGCAAATTTCATGGCCAGTTACATATTAAGTAGCGTGAAAGATTTTCATAAGGACGCCAAACTCCAAACTAAGATTGTCATAAGGACGCCGAAATCCAAGTAAAAAGATAAATAAAAACGAGAAAGAATGAAAATGAAGAATTATGGCTATCTAACTTTCTTTCTGCATCATTAATTTTCGCAAGTCTTCGACAGTTTTGAAAGATGATGCAGCGATGTTGGAGGGATCCTGAGATACTGATTTTTCTGAGGCAATTGTCTTTGTCGATGACAGAACTACTAGCTGTCTCAAAGCGTCCTGCTCTTTCTTTGTCATTTTTTCAATTTTTACCAAAACTCTGCAATTTGAATTGAGCAAATCAGAAAAATTCCAAAATAACAAGGATTTGGAACTTCAGATATCTCATTCGAGAGAAAGAGTATAAGAGACCAGATGATGAGTTAAGGACAAGAAGTCGTTATAATCCCTTCTAAAGAAAATGACAAAATAATAACCGCCTTGCGCTTCCTGCGTTTCTCGGTCATTTTTGATCAAATACTCTAGAAAATGACCAAAAGTCTTAGTAAAAGGAAAAGATAGAAAAAACTTACTTATCAAAATAGACTTCTCTTAATTCTTTTGGAGCCAACATCATCGCTTTCAAAATTCTTTCCCACTCAGATTGAGTTAAAACGTTTGCTGAAAAAATTACATTAAAAAAAGAAATTTGCTACGACTGCAATATGAAGAATTTGTCAAGTTTCAATACCATAAAAAAATCATTTGACAAAATTTATTTCTCAATCAGAACATCAGGAAAAAATTAAGTAAATGCTTCAAACGACAATATCGACTTATTTTTGAGACACAAAAATTATTAACAAACAAATCTGGGATAAATGCTGACATTCTACATATGCAATTAACATTCGGTCACTCCATCCAACTAGTTGTCTTTTCCGTATCGGTTGTATTTCACCGTCTGATGTAGTTTCAAGAAGCTGAAAAAAAAAAGGTAAACATATTTCTTAAGATAGACTGGTGTCGCATTAACATATATCACCACTGATCTCACATATCAGCAATGAATGGTTGCAAATTATTCGCTGGCAAGTAATAAACAAAGCATAATTTCACCACCATTAACACGTCTTGCATGTAACTTATCTCTCGTACAGTAAAATTTACCTGGAAAAGTAACTCGGGTAACATTTTCGCTTCATTCAAGTAATGAAAGATTGGCTTCCAGAAAAGCTGCAAATCTTCTGGGATAATCCATATATCCTCATTTTCTGCAACCGAAAGAAATTGTTCCGCCTTTTTTGTAAACGGAAGTGTAACAAACACAAATTGAAAAATTCTTGGATGACAAAAAAAACCATTTTCTGAAGTCAAAAAAGAAAAACTTCGTTGTGACTTAAACCCCCCATTTGTTTTTATATCAATGTATTATCTCGTATGAAATAAGCTTAATATAAAATATACAATTTTCGTAACTAATAAATTAAGCCCATACCTGAAAATAAATTACAATCAATTGATTTAATTTGCTTCGCGTTTAAAATTAAATAACCTTCCTGTAAAAATGCTCCCAAGAATTCCCTGAAATGAGGAAAAATTTAATTTAGATCCAACTTTTAGGTTAGCTTGTACGAAATTCGAACATCGTAAGGAGTATAACAAGTTATTTAAAGAAACTATCTACGGCAACAAAAGTAATTTCAAGTTGTCAAAATTAAATACTTTCTAGTATAAGTTAACTAAGCAAACAACTTGATAAATCTAACTGTAGTTTGATAAATTTGGATTAAAATGTTTTTAAAATTATTTGATGTATCCGTTCAAAAAAAGACTTCAATTATTTAATTATTTGTGAAAAAAAGCAATACCAAAAATAATTCAGAAACAATCGAGTATTTAAGAAGAAAGATTTATGTAAAAATCAAAATTATCTGCAACGAGTTTACCAAGGGTGCAACATGATGAATGTCTCCATTTTCGTCAATATCTTCTGCAATTTTATTTTTTATCTGGCTTGTTCTTTTTCTGACGGGTAGATTGTTTCATCTGAAAAATACTCAAAACCTGCTAATTATATGGATGGTAGTAATCATAATGAAGCTTAATAATAATAATGAGAAAGAGCTGATGAAGCACTGATTATATCAAAATCTTCGCTTCTATCTTGGTTAGGTTGAGCAAACCATTTTTCAAAATCCATTCGCTTTTTCGGTTTTTATTTCTGGATCTAACGATAAACTATATTTTGTGAATCCAATTACCTGTTGTAAAGAATGAAGCATGAATCGGTCAATTAAGTAAGCGGCTTCCTTTTGCAGTTCATTTTCATCATTCGCATTCTGAATATTTAAATTTAGCCCAATAGCCTCGGCTACTGGTCTTGACCAGTGATGCTCCTGAAAAAAAAGAATTCAATAATATATCTTTGTGGCATAAAGCAGTTTTTGAGGAAAAGTTTATTAATTCCAACGCTTAAACCTTATCCAATCACCACAAGGAAACAAATTACAAGAAACAGCACAACGAAATCAATATCAATCTATCTATCAGGACTCAAAATATCTGATGCTGACGGCAGCCTGTTAAAACTCACCTATAAGTCATACTTAAGTCATACATTTGGATATACTACAAAACGTTACCCAAAGCCAATTTCGACAATATGTCGCTGCTTGGCGTAAACTTTCTAACGGTGGAAGATGCGAATGAGTTGCACCATGTCGAATATCAACTACCCATTGTGGAATTCCAACCTAAAACAAGTCGAAATTTGAGAAATTTTCTAAGAATCAACTACATCCTAAATGAAAACAACTCATTTTAAGCCAATCTCGCAATACATGAAATTTAATATTGAAGTGTTTGGCGAATGTTAAATCATCAAATACATACACCACCAACAGCTGATGCAATTGATTTGAACTTATAATTCGACTGGCATATTTCGTTAACATAATTCACAAATCTGCAAAGGAAAAAACATAATTTTTAATTTTGAAAGCATCTTTTCAATTCATTATTTGGTGAAATATATCTTGAACTTAATTATAATCGAAGAATAATGAACAATAAGAAAACGAAGAAAATCTTTTTTTTTCTTTCTGCAAAATTTAATGAAGAATCAAAAACTTACCCAATAAAAAACAACTAAGCCGATTTATAGGAAGAAATTAAATGTTAACTAACCGAAATTTTTTTTAAAAAAAAAAGTTTGAAAAGAACTACGAAACTCTGATACTGATAAGAAAGCATTAATTTACAACATATCGCTTACTAAATTTGAAATAATGCTAAATAATATCAATAACAAATATATTTTAAATTTTTGACCGTTGGTGAAGAATTTTCGAAAGATAATATCAGAAATTTTAGTAATGCAAAAAGTTATCCATTGTTTTTGTAAATAACTGAAAAAGATAGTATGAAGCTTGATTTCGTATTATAACTTCCTGTCAAGTTTACTCTAAAATACTTATGATAATAAGTTCATATCGATCTTTTCATCATCTATTCATTCCTTCCTCTTATCTATAATGAAAAAGATTCACTGTACACTTCCAATCAATCACCGTTCATATTCATCTGTAATAATTTCCTCACTTATGGTTTTCTTCTTTCAATTCTTCCCTCCTTAAAAATTTTTACAGTTGCATTGAAAGAAAAGAAGAAAAATACTAAAATCTATTTGACATTTTTATCTATTTAAATGAACGAAAGTAAGGAATGTGAAGATATAATATCACAAGTTAAATAAATAAACAAAATACTTTTCCTCTATTAAACGATGCTGAATTTCAATGTTGTACTTGGTATCTACTAAAATGATATCAACATTATGATTTATGTATAACAATTATGGAATATTAGATATATCCTTATATCAAATGAACTAAATCCTCTCTTCAAAATGAAATTCGTCTTAAAAGCTATCTACGTAAGACTTATTTTAACGACACGTTAGCATTACATTTTCTCGAAGTTAACAATACATTTAATAATTAAAACTATTTATTTGTTGATATATGATAGTATGATTAGTTCATAAATTTCATTTCCAGGAAAAAAAAACAAATGCAATTTAATGATAATATTTTTTAGTATCAATTCCACAATTAGTGGAAACCTAAAAAAAAAAAAAAAACTACCATATTTGATTTTTTTTTTCCTTTTCCTTTTCTTTTTTTCGATAATCATAAATGCTTTTCAAATGAAAATTCATTCGACTTTTTCTAGAGGTTTTTAAAAGAAGAGAAAAATCATTTAGTGATTTATATACATATATATATGTACATACATAATTTCAATCTCTTTCCCTCCGGATATTTTATAATTTCTCATCTATCTCTTCGCATCTAAATGCATTAGTCAAGAAAAAATTGAAGAAAAAAAATTAGGATTATTATTTCCAATAAAACATTTCAACAACTAATAAAAAATTCACTTTTTTTAGAATTCCAAACAAATATAAACAGCAATGATATGAAGCGTATTTGATTTGCTGTTGCTAATATTTTATAATTATTGACAAAATTTGAGGAATTTAATCATAAAAGATAAAAAATAAATCTGAGCGTAATACTAAAAAAACTATCAAATTTAGCTACTTTCTAGTCAAACATTTCAAATATGACTTAACATTTGGAGTTATTTTCATTTCCATACCATGTTATTTAAACAAAATTATCAGAACCCGATAATTCTCGCTCAAAACTCTCGAGAAGAAAAAAGTCGTTGGAAGTAAAAAGTAAAAAAGTCAAAAAATAACCCTCAGCTAATTCTTTTCATCGTGTCACATTTGCACTTACCTAACCTTTTCACATCTGTCTTCCTAACTTTTATTATACTAAATTTATTTTGCTCACATAAAAGTTATCCAAACCTTACCATTCTTCCATTATCAAATCTTACTGTTATCGCTATCATTCCAATGTTTGATAATATATTGCATCCAATTATTTTATCACATTAATATTTCAAAAAACATATTAATATTGATTGTACCAAACAATTCAATAGTCGTTTTTCATGTAATAAAATATGCAAAGTTAATTTTCGAGCTCTTTTACAAACTCTATCGTTTGCTCGTCGAATTTGTTCCATACCTTTTTTTTTTCATTCTCGTCTTTCGCCAAAATTTAATCTTTCTTTGTTCAATTCCATGAATATGCAAATAAATTTTTTTGTTGTATAAATTTATTAAATGAAAAATCATTTCAGTCTTTTAATAGTTTAGGTAGTTTCTGTACTCCAATTATGTGGAGATGTCAAAAGAGAGGAAACAAAAATGGCGATATATTATTGAAAAATGAGAATACGAAGATTCTAATCACAGACACAAAATTCTGGTCACAGATTCTGATCATGAAACGATTATAATCCTGATCACAGTATTCAACAATTATGATAATTTCGAAGAGTATTGTAAGGAAGTGAAATGAGAGTATGAGAAATATATTATTCAAATGGCCACTTCACTTGTCGAATAATGAAAAGCAATCAAATTATTATCTGATTCAATCAAAATCCTACATACATCCTCCTTCTCCCTCTACAACTTGTTGACTTTAATCAACAATTCATTCTTTTTTTTTTTAAACCAACTTTTTTTTCATCAATCTTATCTATCTCAATTACTTTTTCTGAAAGTATGAGGAAGAAAATGATGAACAGAAAAAGAGTAAAAGTTAGGAATAAAAGATGGAAAAATCTTAATCATCTCTAACCATAAGTAATTTAGGCAAATATGCTTATTTCTCAGGATATTTTTAATTTTCGGAGAAAAAAATTGGAGAAAAAAGAGGGGGAAAAAAAGCGCAAATTTATTCGCGAACATATATGTACAGCATGCAAATAATCTCCTCAAAGCTTTCCCAAAAACAATCAAACAACTTCGCTGCAATTGACAAATTTTGCTATATTTATTGGTACTAAAATTTCATGTCATTACTACAACGAATTTTTCAATTCGAACTAACATTTATCATACTTCAAGTAACAGGTAATTCGTTAAACCTTAAATTTAAAAAAAAAGAGGTTGAAGTATGGATAATCAAATTTGATTTATATTTGGGAAGGATAAAAAAGTTACTTATGATTAAAATGTAAGATTTGTTCATTTTTTTCATTAATTTTTTTCTTTAAATTTTATATCTTACTAAAATAAAGTATATGTATGAGAATGTGAATGAAAAACACAACGAAATTTTATCATTACATGTTTAATTATAAAATGATTATTATAGATGTTATTTTAAAATACTAATGTAATAAGTTGAAATTTTAATTCTCAAACATTTTTTTTTTTTGTAGTAGAAGCAATAATTTGTTTCCATTGCCATTCTGAACTTGGTACATGCAATAATGGTACATGCGAAGGTGTTGTATGCATCAGAATGGAAACATCCAATCGTGATAATGGTAACTTTTGCATTTCGATATCAAGTATGTGCATGCGCTTAAATCTTCTCAAGAATTTTTGCTGAGAAAATTCGGAAATTAAAAGAAAGAATATAATTAGTCGCAGTGAAGAAAAAATAAGAATCTTCGAATGAGACAATCAATTTTCTCGGATTTTCTGATTGTATAAATTTAGCTAAAAGTAAGCATCCTACTTCCATTCTTACCTAAAATGCTTTCTATAAATCAGTTTCTCAATTTTGTGAAAATAATTTATAAATTTACTGACATCGCGTAAATACCTCCCTTATTTTCCATTACCATCATTACAATCAGTATTATTTACAAGTGATAATATTTCACTCAATTTCGGACTAAATTTCCAGTAACAGAAAAATTCCAAATATCTGATCAAATCGTAACTTATCAAACAAATGTCGTGATACCTAGCATCAGCACCAATGGTACCTGATAAAATAATACTCGATTTTAGAGAGACGAACAGTGCAAAAAGGATGCGGTAAAATATATGAGGAGAACGGTTGTCAACAAAGTATTTTCGGTTCCAAATGGACATCACGATGTGTATGTGA